GTAACCGCCCGCCCCGCCCCTCCCGGGGAGGGTCACGGCTCAGTGCCTGCCGGGCGGCCGCGTCTCCTTAGTGCCTGGTCCCCCAGGTGACAGCGTGAACCCCTCAAGCGTTCCGAAACAGAAGCCCCTGGGCGCCACCTTCCTGTTTCTCCAACACCAGCTGGCTGCAACGTGGCTGTTAGCCAAGCCCAGGCCCTTGGAATCAGGTCACTTAGGGTCAGCCCCGGCCTCGGGCTGAGTGACCTTGGCCCAATCGTCGCATTGCGCCTGGGACTGTGTCCTTGCGTGCTCCAATGGTCGATGGCTTCCAGACTTCCTCCTGTTTCGTGAGACCCTGAGCTCCAGATTCTCTTCTGAGCGTTCCCCTGCGTTATCTTTGAACCTGAAGCCTCAATCTGGTGTTCTTGGTTTAGGGAGAAGGAAACTGAGGCTGGAGAGAAGTGTTCCAATGTGAGAGGGGCAGTGGGACCCTGACCCGAGCCTGCATCTCCTCTGAGACCCTTCCACCCCCATTACACCCACAAGGGCAAATGACCGGAAGAACAGTGTTTCAAAGGACCAGCCTGGAGTAGAGATGGAGATAGAAGGGTGAGCCTCAAACAAATACCTGCTCAGCAACTCAGCCCCAAACCACTGCCTCAACAAGTTGGAGGTGAAGAAACAGATCCACGGGTCACTGCAGAGTCCCTCACAGGGAAGCATCATGTCATCGGGACTGGCAGAGTCCAGATCCTCCTCCGTGGGCAAACGCTGAAGCTCCTCCAACAGTTTGGAAAGGCTGGGTTTGTCCAGCCTGCGTCTGGCTCTGCCATCTCCACACATTGGGAGGAACTCCTAGGCCTCTGCCCTACACCCAGGTACTGTGAAATGCAGACACAACACCTGGCTTTACACTAACCAAGGTGCTCATTTATTCATCAATTCAACAAATACTTCTAGTCCAGCCGGTTGCCAGCATAGTGAAATGACCTTAAAAAATAAATAAATAAATAAATAAATAAATAAATAAATAAAAGCAAAACGTAAAAATACCTTCCCCTGCCGGGTGTTGGTGGCACACTCCTTTAATCCCAGCACTCAGGAGGCAGAGGCAGGCGGATCTCTGTGAGTTCGAGGCCAGCCTGAGTCTCCAGAGCGAGTGCCAGGACAGCCTCCAAACCTACACAGAAGAGAAACCCTGTCTCGAAAAACCAAAAAAAAAAAAAAACCTTCCCCTTAGGAGGGAAGGCTCAAGAACTGCTTAGATCTAGGGCTCTAAAATCATTGACAGTGTATCCACCTGACTCGAACAAGTGGAAGGAAGGGCAGGAGAAACTAGCCTGTGAAGGGGGAGGAGACAGACCCTCCACAGGAAGCAGGTCTCAGAAGACAGGGGTATTCCTTGAACACTGGATCATCTTCCTTTTCCCAGAGCGGACCAAGGCCTGGTCTGATTTCATACCAGCTTCAGCCACTAGGGACTATACCGCGATATTCTAGGTCTTTGCATTCAGACTTGTGACAGCTGGCTTTTTTTTTTTTTTTTTTTTTCCTCTTCCTCTTCTTGCAGAGTTTCCCTAGAATGACTCCTCTTCCCTTTACAGGTTTTCAGGCTTCTGGGTTTTACGAGCTGCTTTTTGCTTCCAGAAACCAAGAAGGGGGTAGATGAATTCAGCCCCTTCTCTTACCACTCAGCGGGGAGCAGGGCAGATCCCCTGCTGATCTTTCACCGGGCTTGTGTGTGCTCTAAGGGCCAAGCTCTAGAGTCCTCCAAAACTAAAATGTCCGGTTCCCTTTCGTGGCTGAGTGCCCATGGCTGGGCTCTCTTGGGAGTCACCAGCAGCGCTGTGGGTGGAACACCTCTGGGCCTCAGCGAGACTTAGAAGCCAGTGTTTGTTTTTGAAAGGAGTCTTACCTTGTGTGCCTGGCTGGCCTCAAAGCATTAATTTCTCAACTGAGGCTCCCTCCTCTCAGAGGACCACAGGTTGTGTGAAGCTGACATAAAACCAGCCAGCACACTGGCATTACTAACAGGGCCCTACACTCATAATTCCATTTAACTTTAATTACTTCCTCCAAAGACCCCACCAGCAAATACACCATGGGAGGCTGGGGAGGGGGATAGGCAACAGTCCTTAGAAGAATATGGTTCAGCTCATAACTCTTTCCTTGCCATCTGTTGTGAAACAATTCTCATAGGAAATTGCCCACTCCCTAGCTCCTGTTGAACCAGCATGTCTTTGCTGAGGAGTTCATTCTCATGGTTCCCTCCTCGGATTGCCCCGACTATATTTGCTCTTTTTTTTTTTTAACATTTTATTTATTTATTTATTTATTTATTATGTATACAACATTCTGTCTCCACATATGCCTGCACAACAGAAGAGGGCACCAGATCTCATAACGGATGGTTGTGAGCCACCATGTGGTTGCTGGGAATTGACCTCAGGACCTCTGGAAGACCAGCCAGTGCTCTTAACCTCTGAGCCATCTCTCCAGCCCTATATTTGTTCTTTTATTTTTTATTTTTTTTAATGTTTTATTTAATTTTTACAAATTATAATTTCACATGTCTCTCCCTTCTCCCCCCCCCATATTTGCTCTTTTAAATTATGCCCTGATTTCTACTGAGTAGAAAAATGTAGAGCAAATGGTCAGGTTGGCAGCTGGAGGTAGCATTCTCATATTGAGCCAATGAGATGCAGCCATTTGTTAGAGAGAGATCAGTTTCCTGGCAAGCTGGTTTTGGAGTGGGAGGACCTGGGAGCAGGTAGCACTGTGAGAAAATGGCTTTTAGTTGCTGCTTATTTCCCCAGAGCAGTTATCTGCTCTGGTGTGCTGTCTGCACAATGAGGCCTGGGTTAGCTTAGGCACCTGGGCAACCACAGACTGACCTTGGAAGTCTGTCAGCGCTCATTCCAGTACCCACTCTTTTCTTTGCCTAGAAATCCAACCCCTGCCTGGCTTCCCCATGCCTGTGCCTCACTGCTATCTTATCTGTGGCTTCTTGTCTCCTCCTGCTGTTAGCACCAGTACTTTGTCCCGCACCCCACAGCCATACCCCTTGTTGGAGTTTTTTTTTTTAAGATTTTTTAAATTTATTTATTATGTACACAGTCTTCTGCCTGCATGCCAGCAAAGGGCACCAGATCTCATTCAAGGTGGTTGTAAGCCACCATGTGGTTGCTGGGAGTTGAACTCAGGACCTCTGGAAGAGCAGTCCGTGCTCTTAACCACTGAGTGGTCTCTCCAGCCCCCTGTTGGAGTTTTTATTTCCTTCTTGGACACTGCAGAGGCTCATTTCTGCTGATTTCAGATTGTGTTATAGGTTGTGGGGATTAGTATTTGCTGAGGAACAGGAATACCTTATGAACAAATTTTATTCCCTTTTAGTCTCTTGTTGAAGAAGAGAGGGAGGATAAAGGTAGGAGGAAGGGAGAGAGGATATCACTGGGAAAGAGGGAGGCAAAGGCATGAGCCCTCTCTTAATGACCATGGGGTAGGCTGGTGATGCTTAATAACTATTGGTTTGTCATAGGAATGCCTGTCTCAACTCACCACGGCAAAAGATCCCTACTGCTTGCTCTGTCTGGGCTTCCCCTATCTTTTGTGCAGCTGCCTCCTCCAGTCTCTGCTCACTCTGAGCACATAGACTTGGAAGTGATGAAATCTGTCTTCCCTGTCTGAGGCAAGAGTGAGCCACCCGGCCCCTCCTGGCCTGGGGGTGGGAGCAGATATTGGAATGTCCCTTACTGACAATCTGCTTCTCTACAGTTGGCTAAAGGGAGCACCTTGGAGACAGTGGCTATCTATGCCCAATGGCCTGACATTTTGTTTTGGTTTTTAGTTTTTACATCAACCACTTATAGCTTCTTCATGGCTTCTTTCTGGCTAGCCTGGTTCCAGTTCTTTCCTGAGGTTCAGCACTACATCTGCGTTAGGGGTCTTTGCTCTGGGCTCCCCCAAGCCACACTACTGTTCTGCCTACAATCATGACACCACACCAGTTATCCCAAAACTCACTCACCTCCCTGAGCTCTGAATGGGGTCCCCTACTGCTCAGACACCTGGAACTAGGTTGTCATCATCATCATGACCAGATCCATGGTGGCCTGTTACCCTCCTGAAGGGAAAAATGGGATTTCTCAGTCATCAGGCACAAAGAGTCAACTCAGGTGCTGAAGAGAGGCCAGACAGATCCGAGCTGTGTCACCTGTGCAGATTGCTTAAGGTCTCAGTTTCCATCTCTCTAAAAGGGATGGTAACCCAGCCGATGGTGGCACACATGTGTTACCCCAGAGCACAAGGGACTGCACAGCAAGGCCCTGTCTCAAAATAAACATATAAGAAAATAAGTTGAAGTTATATAATAAGTTAAAATTATTAAAATTAATAGTTGGGACCTCACAGAGTTGTTGTGGGATGTGATGGTATGACACAAGAAAACAATGAGCTGGGGAAAGCAAATCTGCACAGAGAAAACAATTCCATGTTATATGTAACTGTAAAGACATGATGGTGGGATATGTGTCTACATAGTAAGCAGGCACACATGTTTTCTAGTTCTGTCAGCTGTGAGGACCAAGGTGACATTCAGACCCAGGTCTTGGTTCCGTACTCTATGTCCAGTGACAGGAACCAGGCTCTTTAAAAAATGCCCAGCCATAAGGTTGGGACAGGACAAACACAACCCAGAATAGCCTGGGCAGCCAGGAAAAGAGGAAATGCCAAAGCAAATAAATTAGCACAAGGATGGTGTGTCAAAGGGACAGAGTAGGACAGGAAAGGGATCCTGGTGCCTGGAGCTGGTCCAGCCGTGG